ACAGCACGATCACCATCCCTCCTTCCCGAACAACCATCCAACCATCCCCTCCCCCTATTCGTCGATATCGAATAGATCCATATCCAAGAATTTATTCGTGAAGCGCACGAGACACGTATCTGAAAATAGATGGAGGATCGAATGGGTTAATTAAAGAAGGATCGTTGAAACCGCAAAGATCGGTCAACAGCCATCGTACTGGACAAGGGGGATGGAGAAGGGGAGGGGGTGGCGAGAGGAACGACAGCCGTGAACCGTGGGCAAAAAGGAATCAGAGCGAGTGAAACGGAACGCAATCGAGTCTTTGTTGCGCTTTTACCTGGAAGCCGACTAGGCCCGCCACTGTCTGCTCGTGTTTGTCCCGCGCAAACTTTGTTTTTACAAATAGAACCACATGTTCCTCCGTTCACCCTCTACCCATTCTCTTTTTACCCCCTTCCCTACCTACCCTCAGCTTTTCGTGTCTCTCCCTCCCTCTCCTCCTCTCTCTCTCTCTCTCTCTCTCTCTCTCTTCCTTCCTTCCTTTCTTTTCTCCCTCCTCCGTTCGCCACTCTCGTTCTCTCTCTCTTCCACCCCCGTCTTCGCGCCACCGTCCCTCTTTCGCTCGCCTTCACGGGACCCACACCCCCTTGCGCACACACGCGACAGGTGGTAAAGTATAACAAAAAGGCAAGTTCATTCAAACGGTTTGCGTTGGATTCGCTTTGCACCTCGGAATTTCTTTGGAAAGCCGCACACACCCGCCCTCCCCTCCCCTCTCTCTCTCTCTCCGTCAAATATTAGCCCGCGACTGACTTTTGTGACTCATGCCACTCTATCCGTGCTGATAGACCGCCACTCCACTTCCCCTCCCCTCGCTTCCATCGATCTTTTCAAGGATGCCGACCGAATTATCGGAGAATTGAATTCGAAATTTTTTTTTTTTTTCTCTCTCGAATTTTGTATTGTCTCTCGTTTAGAAGAGGTCTTGGAGGAATTTTCTAATCTCTAGTAAATTTGTTTTTTTTTTTTTTTTTTTTCTTCCCCTCCTTGACGAACGGTAAGGAGGAATTTTTTTATCAATTCTTGTAACAGATATTGGCGTTTCGCTGCCAATTAAACGGAATGAGTTTTCTTTCTTTCTTTCTTTGTTTTTTTTTCTCTCTCTCTCTCTCTCCTCCGCGAAATTTCAATCTTTTCCGTAAGGAGAAATCTTGAAACGTAGAAAATCGAGGCGTGCCTTCGACTAAACGCGCCAAGTCTTCGACTTGAAAACCGTTAATTAATATTTATGAGCGACGTACGCGCATTTCTACGTACAACTTGTTCAATGAGTGCCAATTGTCACCGACGTTCACTTAAATTGCTCATCGAATATTCATGCGAAAATTGCCACGGGAATGCGGCTCTGCACGACACCCAAATGGGATTGAAAAATATTAAAAGAAATATTGAAATCCTCCGACTATCTACTGGCCTATCTACTTCTAATAAACGTACATTTCAATACATTCTTATTTCGTAATTAACGCGTAGAAATTATAAAGATGAATCTTTAACATCTTTGGAATAGAAAAGAAATCTTTTTTATCCTATTTTAAATTCTTAATAGACATTTTTAAAAATTTTAATTCCTAAAATATAGAGGAATAAAATCAAAATGGACGTTTCGACTTTTTTATCATTTAATTTTATCGCCAAAAACCATTCGCCGCTTTCCAAAGGGAAAATTGATAGAGATTCGACGTAGTATTCTAAGACCAGTTTCTTTCTCTCTCTTTTCTTTTCTTTTCTTTCTTTCTTTTTCATTCGAAACAGAGAGGACTGTGAATTCGACCGGGTCACAAAAGTTTCCCGCACCACGTGGAAAGAAGGTAGAAGATGTATACTAATTGAAGGGCCGGTTAGAAGCAAGACAGTAGCAAGTCTTTCGATTAACACCTCCTACGGACCACACACAGTCACAGTTTGAAGAATTTCCAATTCTATTTTTATTTATCGATGTAATAATCAATCTGCACGGGTTTAATAATCTCACGTAGCCTTTTTCAACGAGATCGTTATTCTTCTACACTCTCAACCTCGACGTCAGTTTCTATCAATAGTAAACTTAGGAGTTTCTTAATACATAAGAGAAATTATTTTCACACGAAAGTTTCGAAAGGATTGAACGCGCCTTCTTCGTTTATTAATTTTTTCGTAAATCGTCGCGTTTAAAAAGAGTACGATTACGATTAAAAAAAAGTTTATAAAAACTCGGCCCAACGACGAATGGAGGATGAACAACGGGCCTCGAATCGAGGAGAACTTTCAAAATATGTTCGGCCAGGCGGAGAGAAACACCGGGCAAGAGTGCAGAAACTGTGCTCCGCGAAAACATCAACAGCAGGAGGATAGCAGGAGAGGGTGAAAGGAGGGAGCAGAGAGAGAGAGAGAGAGAGAGAAAAAAAGCGACTACTTTCGGAAGTTCATGAAAGTTCGTTTACACAACTCTTTCCCGTACTGTGATGCATTATGCTCTCGAGACGGACTGACCTGAAATCTTCGGCCTCTACTGCTCTTCACGGAGGAACAGCATCACGGACTCGTCATTCCGGTGCGCTTTCTACGGATTTGTCTGATATACTATGTGTCCCGGAAGTATAAAATAGACGACAAGTCGAGTGGATCTTCTCGTTTTATATATTTCTATTTCGAATATCGAATATCTCCTCTTATATTTATCGTCCATCTCATTGCATTCGACAATTCAAGAATTCCTTAATTCTTCTTATTAAGGAAGTCTCTCATAATACATTCTAAACGGCTTTCGTCAGACTTCAACTTCAACTTCAGCTTTCTCGAACTCTACGCAATCGTCTCACGATACTTTACATAATTATATCGATTTAAGATGTGCTTGTTCCCGTTACGTAATGTAAAATTTGCCAGAGAAGAAAAGATGTTGGAAAATTTTATCAAATTCACCAAACCCTTTTATTAATTAGAATTACAAGAAGCAAAACGACGTTTGAAAGATATTAATAATAATCATCTTTCGTCCGATAATAAAATTATTATCAGAATGAAATTAAACCTTTAGTCAAAGGAAGAAAGTATCAAGATCCACGTTAATATTTTAATTATTATGCTTTTCCAGTACTTTACTACTACTTTAAGCATTACGTGGGTACTTCAATATTTAGCAAGAATAAGTATGTAGTAAGGATAAGTCGCAAGAAAGAAAGTCTTCTAAACGTGACATTCGAAAACCGAATCGCAACGGATTCCATCGAGCGTGCATACTATTATATACCGCTAGAAAAAGCTGGCTCTCGTACCTGGTGTCATATTCTACCCGGTATGCTGTCCAGGCGACTACTCGGTCCGATGGAGTACTTGGTCCGCGCGCGACTCCTGAGGGTACTCGAGGCCGCGTCGAGAGAGACCTCTCTACATGGGTGGTCCATTCTCCTTACGCATGCATTATATAAGTTCAGTAAAGTTCACACTAAGGATACACGAGGCCCCTGTGTCCGGCAGCCATCCAACGGAATTCGATAATTATATCCTAAACCGTTCTCTCACGCGTCCCTTCCTAAGAAAGAGAACTTCTTGTTAGAAAGTCTACAAGAATGGATGGATAGCTGCATCTTCGTGAAACATCCTTCTTTTTCCTTTTAGAATCTGTACTGGTGTTTCATATTTGTAGATAAGAAAGAAAATAGATCCGATAATTCTGATAATTCTTAACGTTTCGAAATATACTCTTAAGTGCAAACTTAACACGATCTGATCTTTAGAATTTCGGTAGAGAAATTCATTTCGTTTTATCTTGATTGGCAAGTGAATTAAAGAGCAACGATTTTTAACGATAATTTGTTTTAAATTCTTGAAAAGATAATAATTAAAAATATAATTGAAATCGTCACAATCTGACTGGAGGGCGAACAAAAGGGCGACGAGGGTCGATTCATCATACCGTGTCCTCCGATGTTTCCGAACTCGTGATATAACTTACGAGATGTGGAACATGAAAAGGCAGAGAAATGTGGCCTGTATTTTGTAGATAAGAACGGACCCTATATCCCTCTTACATCGTCTCCACCCTTCCACATCATCAGATTCCTTCCAGTCCCAATTACATTTCAGATGGTTGCATGGTCACGAGAAGATTATCATCCCTCCCGAAATAATAGGACTAATACGAAAGATAGAATATATAAGAGATCTTGGAAAACTTGTAGAAATTTTTCTTTTGTTTCGAATAAAATTGTGTATTTTGATTAATTACGATAAAAAAAATATTTCGAAGGTATAAAATAAGTTTCGAAAATAGATATTTAGAATAAATATCTTTTTCGAAAAGATTTTTGCTTAAAACTGTGAAATTAAAGAAATAGATGAGATTTGATTGAAAGTTTGAATTAAAGTTGAATTGTTAAATTTAATTAAATAATTATAATAGGTATTTTACTGTTTCGTTTAACTAACTGTTAAATTTACCTATATCCCGTTGATATTATTATAACACGCTCATATAATATAATATAAATATCTTTATTTGATCTAGTATGAATTTTATTTTATAATGTACAAGTACTTGATGTGTTCTCTCGCGGCGAAATTCGGTAGCTTTCTAGCTATCGTATTTTCTGTCGATAATAAATTCTAGACTAAATTTGGTTTTCATATATTTCGTAAAAAATAATTAGTAGAATTGTTACTTTTAATCAATATTAATAAATAAAGATAATAAATGAGGTTTCATATGCATGGAATTTGCTTTAATAATTAAAATGGCGATAGCACGCCAAAGGATATACTTTATTATAATACATACATGTATATTATTTTATAAAGCGAATACTTTAGCAAAATAATAAAGAATATATACGAAAAAATATTTTACTCACATTTCTCAGCACCTATTCTTAAGATTTGTCGCAATTTTCCTCGATTTTACACCACAAAATTACACTCTGTTCTTTTCACAAATTATTCGTACGTACTTGCGAGAATTTAATTCAATATCTCGCAAAACGTATTCGATATCTCGCATTTCCACGATTACGTACTGTCGATAATAACCGTATATAAAAGTGTTTAATATTCTTCTTGAATCGTAAGAAGAATGTCACTTCCTGCAAAAATTACTTTTGCATTATGTTGTGCAACATCAGCAAGTATTATATTTTATGTGCATTATCAACAAGAAGCTGAGAGGTAATTTAAAATATTTTTATATTAGGTTATATTCAAGTAACGTATATAAAATTCCATAAAAATCTAACCATCGTGTAACATGTATTTACCATTGAATAAATACAAAATATATAATATATTATAACAATAAAAAAAATGTATATAAATTGAGAATAAATATATCCTTCTTCAAATGTTTCGTTCTTAAATCAGATTATTCGAAAGAAAATTCGATTGAATTATTTAATTGAAGTTGAAATTAATATCATACAATCATTTTATTTAACAAGATACAATTTTTTCTTTTATTTTTATAGTATAAAATTTTTTGAATTAGTTATATTTTTTCGATCTGAAAGATTAGAATCTATAATGAACTTTTTGCATATTACATCACATAAATGTAAATTAATTTGACTACAGTGTTCAGTACATGTTACACGATAAAATTGTTTTTCGTAGCACGTTTGTCACGTATATTTTCATAATTTTTTACAGAAAACAACTCGAGATAGGTGTAGAACGCGATATTCAACGACAAGAACGGAATAAATTAAAATCGCTGTTGAAACAACAAACACAATTGGCGGATCAGTTACCATCAAAAAACGAACAAAATCTTCAAACCTTATAACATTAGTAAATATTATATAATATTTATTGTAACAAGACTTTGATAATTTATTGCGTGCAATTATAATTTGTGATTTTATAAATTACATTTGTGGATTTATTTATTTTTCCTTTTACGTTAGATTTCACTGTTGACTTTAGGTTAGGTTAGATTATACAATATCAATGAACATAATGACTACAGAAGAACCAACAGAACCAGGTATTTACATATACATATATTTCAACAAAATAATAATAAATTTTACTTTTATATATTTCTCATTTATAGATTTGATTTGCGTAGAGGAAAGTCTTATGAGTTTAGAAAAATTAGATAGAGCATCACCGGATTTATGGCCTGAACAAAGTAGGTATATTTTATGTATACGTGTTACTATTATATATACTTAATTTTGAAAGAAAAAATAATATATCGTGTAATCATATTAATGATTAATGAAGTTCCAGGTGTAAACGAATTTGTAGCTCAAAATTCACCTCAAACAGAACCATCTGCTTGGGCTGCTGGTCTCACTCCAGATGATATAAATCAGTTACATCGTAAGTTTTTATTTGATAACAAAATTACATGGAATATTTTTTATTATGTCAAAAATAAGAATTTTTATTTAATAAGAATTAGGAAATTTGTCAATGGGTGGTTTAATATCCGAAGTAAAAAAATTACATGATATGGCATATCAATTAGGATTGGAAGAGGCAAAAGAGATGACTCGTGGAAAATATTTAAACATTTTCAAGCATAAATAGCAAAAATTAGATTAAAGATGATTATATGTAAGAAAATAATAATATATATATATATATGTGTGTTTTATTCAAATTTACATTAACGTTAAATAAATTATTAATCTTTTAATGAATAGTTAATAATTTTCTAGAATCCATGTTACGTATTTCTGTACATTGACAAAGACTGATGGAAAGCTGGTGGTTACATTGCAGTTGGAACTATATGATAAAATACCTAACTGAAATTTATGTAAATATATAATTGTAATTTTATATATAAATATATGATTTAATTATATATATAAAATCGTGAAATATCATGAATAAATAGTAAATTTTTACCAAAAAATGAGAATCGCCATATTTAAGTAAAAGAGGACTTCCAGTGTATCCCGAACATGGCATTTCATCTCCTATAGTACACAATTCAACAGCTAATCCTTGAATATAATAATTCATGCATTCTTCGATCGATACAATCCTCATTTTTAAAAATTGTTGCTTACAAGGATTTACTTCAATAAGATTTAGATATTTAAAATTTAAAAAAACTTTGTTACTTAAACGAGTTATTTATAATTTTCTTACCCTTTCGATTTGCAAATTTGCCCCAACCAACGAGAATAGCATTTATTCCTACATCTATATAATTATTTTTTGGTAAAAGGCAGATAGGTTGTGCAGTTACTGAATTAAAAAATAAGAATTTCGTAGATTCATCTTTTGCATAATGGATTAAGAAAATTTGAATAATTATTACCAGTATATCGTATCGATTCTTTTAAATGTAGCATCGCTATATTATTCGCGAAAGTTTCAGCTTGATAATTAGGATGTTTTATCACATACGATATATTTATTTTCTGTACATTACAATTAGAATCAGTATCAGTATCAAACTCACCAACAATTACAGAATCCCTATTAAAAGATTAAAAATCTGTTCAAATTTTTACCTTAAAAATTATAACTACTCACAGTTTACAATTATTAAACTTTATAATAGCACAATTTGCAGTGGTTAATATTGTGCGTTGATTCAGAATTACACCGTTACAAGGATACGTTATTTTTCCTGTATTGCCTAGAAAAGAATTATAAAATCAATCTGATACATCTATAAAATAAATAAATATCTCTAGACTTTTCTCTTACTTTTATATCCAACTCTTGCAACAAAAGGAAACATTCCTACAGTATTAACATTTCCACGAACGAAACTTTTACCACATTTTAAACTCGAACTTTGTCTCGCGTAAAATGTATCGTCCGTTTGCGTGAAAAATGTGTTTACGTTACTATCATTTATGCTGCAGCACACCTTTGGTCTCGTATTTTCGTAACCGCAAATTGCTTGGCGAAATCTACATTTTTAGAAGTTTTAATAGTGGAAGTTCAAATAAAATTTGAATAATTTTATAATCTATATACAATGATTTCATTACCTCGTTTATATTTTTTTACCCATTACGAATAATCACACTGGATTCATACTTACCTATGAATTGGAAGTAGATTATGATTCATTAAATTTAAAATAGCAGAACAATGTTCGATAAAGATACATACTTTATCATTTGGACAGGTAATGAAATTAATATTCGGATATGTTTCGGTGGGAAAATATTGCGTCTGGTCGGTGATTCTTAACACGAGAAAACAATAAAAAAATAAAAGAAACATTTTTCATTGATCGACCAATGCCGTTTAAAACATCTTTTATACTGATCTGTTCGGCAGATCTCATTTCAATTTCGTAATACGTAATGAGGATTTTTATTACGTTGAAAGTATTATTCCGTTCTTCCGCCGGAAATCTCATTGTCATGGCAGAAAATGGTACTCTTAAGCAAACATTACCTTTTTAATCATTATACAATCGTAAGATGTAATTTCCGTTGAAAAAAAAAAAAAAAAAGAAAAAAAGAATTATCGCATGAAAATCTTATTTAAAAGATTTTATTGCTCGAATACATATTATTTATAGATCATAAAAATCTCCCGTCTGAAGATTTACCGATATTATTTACAATATTTATTTACAGCATATGCAAAACAAATTCAATATAAAAATAAATTCTTTTCTTTAACGATTAAATCAATCAATCAATCAAATTAAATTATTGTGCTTACAATAGAGATAACGATTTTTGTTAGATTTAATAGCAACTTGAACGATATCCGTGTCCCTTACGAAATCTGTAGCTACTATATTCGCAGTGTACTGCCAAATGGTGCTATACCAATTAGTCACATTCAAATTAACTCTATGCGCCATATCTCGAAGATTTCCCAATCTATTCGAGATGATATCGTTAAAATCCGGTGTCAATTCCGCCATCGCAGATCGGGGTCTCAGAATGCTGTCCCTTTAACAAAAAAAAAAAAAAAAAAAAAAAAAAAAAAAGAAAAAAAAAGAAAAAAAAATACGTATCTTTTAACACACCTCTTGCATACAACTAGCATAAATCATATCCTTTCTCGAATCATCATTATCCCCTTAATTGCACTTCAAGAAATGTTTTACCTATTGTTGGTTTCAATTTTATGCAAATATTTGTACAAGTCCTCAACGGTCTTGACATTCCCCCATTTATGCGTCACACAAGGCCAGACACTGGCGTGATTAGCCACGACTTTCGAATCCTCGTAACCGATTATCAATCTTTTCCCAGAAGACCAGATCTCGTTCAACGTGACGCCCCATCCTTGATTATTTCGGATCAGATAGCGATCGCGAAACTCGTCTTCCAAATGGGACACCAACGCGCGATGGTCGGAATAATTATTGAAACCTGTTTTTCGTCACAATCATGTCACAAATCAAACAATGTTGAGAGTTGGAGGAGAGTTTCAGGGATTCAGCATTACCAACGGCGAATTCACGTATGTCCATTATCACGATTTCCTCGGTATTGTCGAGAAAATTTTTCACGTGATCTATAACAATCCTTAACGGGACTGAACGATAAAATGGGCCGTGGATCGTCCACCATACCTCACTGTCGTCGGGATAATGGCCCAATCTGATGTCCAAGTATCGTACACCGTGTATCAATTGTCCAAGAATATCTAAATCCTATGAATTTTATTGTGTAATTAAATATAATAATATATATATATATATATATATATATATATATAGAACCTTTTTCGAATATAAAAATCAATGTTACATTTACCTGTGTCACGGCAAATTTCGAAATGATGCTTATTATATTGCCGTTCACATCGTAAGCCGCGGAATCATGGGTTCCGGGTAAAAATATATCCTTTATCTTCAAAGGACCGAGAATATCATTCATGTCTTTCATCCACGTTGGATACGTTTTTAAACAATCGATTTTTTTTATGTCTCCTCTCTTCGTTTTCCATATTATTCCGTACTCTGAAAAGAAGAAAATTTTTAATTAAAATAAATAAATATAAATAAATAAAAAAATAAATAAATAAATAAATATATATATATAAAAAAAAAATAAATAAATAAATATATATATATATATACGAATTTTCTCAAAAATAGAGACGTCACGAAACACTGGTGATTTTATTCTATTTTTCTTCCTTTTTTCTCTCTCTTAAGATTATTTACTTATACATTTGGACACGAAAGAAAGATTAGCGCTGGGCACAAATTCGGCCAACACCCCGGTTTTTTGAATCCCGCTCGAATCGTCCGGAACCACGGTGTAAATTTCACGTTGAAGTCCCTCAGAGTCTTCCGCGTATAGCGAGATTTTATCCTCAGGTTCAATATTGACGTTGTTCCAATAAATTTCTATTTCGCGCATCATTGATCCCGAGATTATCGGTGAAATAAGTATACCGATTCGAGATTGCCCTAAATATAACACAAAAGACATTTTTAGAAATTATTTAACAGATTAAAAAAAAAGAAGAAAAAAAAAAAAAACAATGTACTTACAATTTTCCAATGATGCGTTGCAAATTTTGGCAGACGAAATATCGTTACGTATTGTCAATAGAACGAGCAAAATACTTGTCGTGTATTGTATCAATATATTAACAGAGAAAGTAGAAACGTGTACAGTCATTGTCCCTTGTTTCGTTCTAAAATTACTACTTAAATAAGCTCGTAATATAGATAGATGTTGAAAAATATATTAAAAGAAATATCTTAATAATTAAAATAATTTCATTCGTTCATTTATATATATATATAACACATACCTAACAAAAATCAATTTTAAAATTGAAGTATTAGAAGTAGAGAGATCTTACACGTGATAATACAATTCGTTTTTAACCGTGAACTGATGCTCGATGAATACGTGTTTCATTTAAAATTGTGTTGTCAGATGTTAGAATTTTAATTACGCAACTGATAGCCGATTCTACGTAATAATTACAATTAAAAAAATGATTATAATACTTTATTTTATCTAATCAAAAAATATACAATATTATCTTTTTATATAAAGTATTAAAGTATTAACAATTTTTAAATTAGATTTTTTTTTTTTTTATCCTGGAAGTTGTGTCAATTCAACATTAACATTTGAACTCTCTGCGATAATCACAAGTGAAATGAGGATGAAATAACGAGGAGCGAAAGAAAATGTTTATTGCGATTTATTACAATGTAATTTCCTTTTTTCTTTTCTTTTCTTTTTTTTTTTTTTTGTTACTTCATCCGAAATACAAGTTATTAGTTTTTTTATTTTATTATTTGATTCTTAAATATATTTAATTTTAAATCGATAACAAAAAGAAACGATAAGAAACCTACTCTTGCACTATCAATTTACTACTGTTCGTGTAAAGAACAGTATTAATCTTGTTTTCTTTCGTAATAATGTTTCCTTTATGTTATTGTTTTTTAAGAGGTAATTACATGAAACGTAGTTATGAGAAAATAGCCTTTGTTTCGAGATTGTGATTATGATTAAATTCAAATACAATAAGAATTTCAATTTCAAATTATTGTTAAGAATTCGTTTAAAAATTTTAAATTAATTTTGTGTTATTAATATTAGAAACTAATTATAATATTAAAAATAATAATCTTTAATGTTGAAAATAATGGAATAGTTGAATGTTTAAAATTTTAATTGATAAAATAAAAAATATATAGTTGTTACAAATATAAAAGTTATAAGATTAAAAATATTTCAATAATATAATAATTATAATATTGAAAATTAAAACATTTTATATCGAGGAAATTTTCTCCGTCAAAAGTTTACAGTTTACGCCATTATCGATGGTATAAACTGAAGCGTGACTTTGCCTGCCGAGTTAATATTACGGAAGGTTAAAATAATTACAGTTGTATTTCGATCGCTGTATCGTTCAGACGTGCGTGCTCGGATAAAATTATTCGCGAATTTTGTTTTTAAAATTTTATTCTAAAATGTATTTGTTTGTTAAAAGTATTTATATTATGTGTTATATGTGTATTTATTTTTTAAACATATTTATTCGCGAGTGTGACAATTTAACGAGAGTTTTACAAGTTTTATTCGTAAATATTCAAATATTTCATTATTATGGACGAGAAGCAGTTACTTGGACTATTGTCGTTACAATATTAATTACAATATTAACTACGAATGATAAGATATGATTGTGGCATAAAATTTATTACGTTATTATACACGTTAAAAATGAACAACTTCTATTTTAATCCTATTGTACGTAAGTACAAACGTAAACAAATTTCGAAGAGTTATAAAAACGAGAAATATTTTAACATGTATTTCTACTTTGTCAATCGATTTCAGAAAATATATGAAATGAAATTATAAAACTTGAAAGAAATTTTAATAAAATATAACAATAATTGTATAATATCAATTCTTAAAATAAATATATATTTTTTATTTTCGAAAAAGATATAGACACATATATATATATATATACGTAACGTTAATTTTTTCAAACTCAAGAATTGAGAATTAATGCCATCTCTTGAGAAAAACTCTTTGAAAAATGTTTTTGACAAGAGATGGCGTCAACGGTCAATTCTTACTCTATATCTATCTTTTTCGTATTATTTCTTCTTTTTTCTTTATGAGTTTCATTTGCAGCACTCTGAAGATGGCGTTGATTTCAATATTTTTACCTTATCTCTGTTTTTCTCTCACTATTCCCTTTCCTTGTCTGCATTTACTCTATAAATTCATGCACTAACCCAATTTCCGATTAACTTTATTGCATCTCTGTCCAATTTATTGATTAAAAATCTTAATATCTATATTATTCAATTTTTATAAATTATAAGTGTTTTAGAAGGGATTTTTAACATTTAAAAAAAAAAAAGATTGTTAATTCTCTCAGTTTAAATGTTTTAGATTTTTTAAACTTATTTAATTTTTATATTACATTTCTTTCTTATATATCAGTTTTTTTTTATTTTCTTAACTTTTAATTTAATTTTGTACATAATTTATTCACATTATATTTTTTACGAACGATCCTAGTCCGCATAGTGGTAATTGATATTGCTTTGCAAAAGCAATCTTTAAATGAAATTAGATTAAATTGGAAAAATTATATTAGACAGATCGTGTTAATAAAATTACCGTTTGGAAAGCGATGCCAAATTAAGAATTATAACTATCTGCAATCCAATCAAGATTTTACAAATTCCCTTTGGATATTTTAATCTAGATTGAATAATAGATATATCACATATATTTGTACCCATCGTAGGACATGGTTGGACATTATGGATATCGCGATATAGGGTAATAATATGCTGTAACTTTAATAAGGTAAAATTTGACAAATCTGATATTCGATTGAATTATTTTCTACGTTACGTTGGTATGGGATTGTAAATAACAAAGAAAAAGTCAATTCAAGGACTTTGCTCATCATTCTTTATTACAAAATTGAGAAAAAAGAAAACTTTACGAGAGTAACAAACTTTTGGCTTATATGACTAGTTATAATACTCAGCGGCAATATTAAAATTAGTGCAATATAAGTATGTACATTTGTGTGATTAGGTGTGGCTGGTCCGATGAGGGCCTTTAACACGAGATACCGAAGAAATCGAGCAAGTTTCATCGTCGAAACTTGAAAATGAAAGTGTGCAAATAAATTAACGTTTATAGCACGTTTCCATGAACAAAAAATCTCAATGGTCCTCTATGCGATGTGATGTATCCTAAACAATATCATTCGGTTATTATATGAAATATTTACATTTTTTTTTTCTTTTCCCTTACATATTTGATATCCATCTTAAAAACAATTTTTCATATAGATTATTTTCGTTTCTTAAATAAAATCAATAATCTTTTCTCGAATCGTATCAACAAACGATAGATATAACAATTCAATTTTTCAAATTCGTGTCGAATTAATGTTCTGTCAAGTTAATGTCAGTAGTACGCAGTAGTACGAGGAGAAAGAAGAAAAAAAAAAAAATTAATCATAAACATACACCGGGTGCCTCGAAAAAAATCGTGATTCGATTAATCACATCATAATCGTATCGATAACAATTTTTACTTTTTCGAAAAAATCTCCGATTTTTTTCGTTTCCGCCGCCAATTTTTACACACTTGAAATATTATATTCTCGCATATTACGCACCAATAAAAAACGCGCTTCCCTTTTATTACTTATATATGCGCGTGTATCCTCTTCACTTCAAATAGAGATTTTTACAACAAAAATTCTTCCACTTTTTTTTTCTTTTTTTTTTTTTTTTTTTTTTTTTTTTTAATTTACGCATCGCGCAATTCGTATTCGTATGCATAAAATTCTTAACTCACGCAACTCTTCATTTTTTATTCATCTCTAATGCTCACGCGTTCGCTTCTTTCGTTTTTTTTTTTTTTTTCATCGGGATGAGAACGACAACTTAACTTATTAACAGGGTTACAGGAGTGCGGTTTTACATCGTTATCGAACGTTGCTCGCCCATTATCATTACCTGTTTTTTTTTTTTTAGAATATTTTTCGAGAGAGATTGCAAAGTGTTGATTGGTTGGAAAATATTTTTTTTGTTTGTTTTTTTTTTACACGTGATAAAGTGATTTTGCAATCTTTCTATCTTTATCATTAAAAAAAAAAAAAGAAAAAAGCTGACGATTAAAATTCTTTTAAAAATATTCGAACATAATATTCGAATATAAAATCATATTGATTTGAGATCGATCATTTGTTTTCGCATACGTTTTCCGCATATATATATATACAACAACGAGTTACATGTCATGTCAAGTATGTATAAAAAAAGAAAAAAAAAAAAAAAAAAAAAAGAAGAAAAGAAGAAAAGTATCGTAATACTACATACGGTAGTATGTTGACGTTTTTTTAAATTCGAAAAAACGTTTTTAATAACGTAATTATAATTAATTAATCTTAACATTGCTCCGACGTGGCTTGTTCACCTCGTGTCATTGCATCCATTGCTCGCCTCAAAGTCAGAATATTAAACGTTTTTTTTTTTCTTTCTTTTTTCTTCTTCTTTTTCTATAGATTCTTCGACGAGTTGGTATTCATATAAAACTACTCTCGACTAAATTACTATTACTATATCGAATCATCGAATTGCCAAAAATCGAATACTGCATATATATATATATATATATTTTTTTTTCCTTCACCTTTAATACACTACTACGTATATTCGTTCGTGTAGCACTTATTTGTATTTTTTTTTTTTTTTCAGTATATACAAGATCCTACGTATTCCCCCTTACATCAGAAATTAAATACTTCATCTATTTTAATAATAGACTGCGGATGTTTATGCAAATTTATATCTTTATGAATTAACTAAAAAAAAAAAAAAAAAAAGAGGGAGATAACTCGAGTAGAGAAGCTTGTTTCACTTAATAAATATCGCAAACGATTTATTTTATATTGGATGTTTTGTATGTATATATATATTTTTTTGTCTTACACGTAATATTTTTCACGAGAGCACAAGTATCCGCAGTCCTCGTCGTTACCAGAGTCATACTCGAGGTTGGAACTATCCACATAGCCACTAGAAATTCTTATTATATAGGATACGCAACTCGTCGATATTATATCGATAGTATATATAATTTTTTGAAGAATAAAATTCTGAATGGAATAACACAGTTAGCCGCTATAATTTGTTCATTTCTCGCAACAAGATTTTTTTCTTTCTCAAGAAAAAAAAAAAAAAAAAAAAAAAAAAGAAAAATTTGAAATTCCTCATGACGAAACAATACAGATTTTTCTTCTCGTGAAACTTGAAACTCGAATATCGTCAACAGGTATATTACACGCTCACCATCCTCATATATATATATATATATACCGTAAAATCATAATACTATCGTAAAAAACCTTACCGTTCTATTTCTCAAATTTTCAATTCACGTTTTTTTTTTTTTCCTTTCTTTCTTTCTTTCTTACCCTTCGAGTCAAAGATTGTTCCCTCTTCGTACGTATCAAATGTTTCAAATGGTTCCCCTTAACCTTAATAACGATCGTTTATTAACGAAAAAAATTAGTACAAGTACAAAAACTTCTTTTACTTTCATAACTTTTTTCGGAATGTGACGTGTAGAGTATCCTATCCAAATAAAAATCCAACGATTGTTCGTATTATTGTTTGTTTGGGCTTGTTCGCAGCAACACAGATAGCGGCGTAGAACCGTGCATAAATACTAAAAAACTAATTCCCTATTAAATAGTCTCTGTCTTGGA